GGAAATAATATGGCTCTGCATGACTTCAGTAGTCTTTTTCTGATAGTTTACTGCGTTGATTTCATTATGACATTTGATTTCGGGATCAAATGATCTTGAAATCAATGAATAATGTGAATCAATTCCAAAATCAGTCAATTCGAATAATTTTAGACTTTAATGAATCGCGTTCTCCACATTTGTCGCTTCAATTTAGGTCTCTTGAACCGTATCTTTGATAGAAATCAAATTGCCAGTGCCAGGCCCAACGTCGATTGATTATCGCACACTCATAATGTTATGAAACTTTGCTGCTTCAGATTCACAGGTCGTATCATAGAACGATGCTCAAACGCAGTGTAACGAGGGCATACCGAATCTTTTCAAGGAATTCGGCAACGTATGCTGAACGCAAAACTGGACTGAATTACGGTATTTCTACAGAATAAAATTTGAACAATTTTATAATTCCATCGGACTGTTAACGAATCTGTGAACAAATATACATTGTAAACTGCAGTAAAGTGGAACTTTTGTGTTTGTTTTCGAGCATAGAAAGCGATTAGTTACCTCTATTGATCGCAATATTCGTTATAGCAAAAAAGAGTGAGGAGGTGAACACAATTGTCTAGGAAAGATCAATTTCAGTTTGCTGTTGATAAATTGTTGATGTGGTATTTGAGATTTGAGTCGAAGCAAACTTTTTGCTATTACAGTGGGTATGGATTGAATGCTTGATAAATCTGTTTCATTAACGATTGAATTCTTTATAAATTTGTTTCATTAACATTTGAATACTTTCATTTTCTTAGAATGAAATATCATTTCGTATTTTTGTTTGACCGTTTGTATCAGTTTGAGCAGTGCGAATATGAGCCCATTCAAATTCCTGCTGCAGTTACTATTTGTTACAATTCACAAAAACGTAATTGGTTGATGACATGATGCGTTTTTAAGAATTTGATAAAGAAGACCGTAATCTACGTCATGAAATACACGCATTCACGAAAGAAGTTGTCATTCCACTTGCGCCATTCTACGATCAAACCAGTCAGTTCCCATTGCGTGTTATAGAAGCAGCACATGAAGCCGGCATCCTTAACGCCAGCATTCCCCGCGAATACGGTATGATTTCAAGGCGGTTCTTGCAATTTTATTCAAAAAGCACTGCAAAATTTCGTTATATGTGCACTGAAAGGAACGGTTTAATACTTCGTTGATGTCTGATACTTCAGAATGAAAGGCATTTCGAAAGCACTGCGAAGTTGGATGCAAAATTGATCACACCGTTTGCAGATTTACATCAGATGTATTCATGTGAATGCTGCTGAATGAAAACAAAAATCTTCGCAATTGTCATAAACATTTCATAGTGCTGATCACAGAATTTCATGAAAGAAATGATATCTTCAAACACTTATTCAACTACTTGAGGATATTCGTCACGAAATGACAACTGAATATTCAGGAGGAAAAAATTTCGATCTGATGGAAAAGGTTCTGATCAGCGAGGAGATTGCGTATGGCTGTGCTGCTATGGCCAGTGCTATAGCGATTAATGATTTCGCTGAAACACCTCTGATAATTGCTGGGAGTGAGGCACTCAAACGAAAATTCCTTGGTCGAATGACCGAAGAACCTCTCGTTGCTGTAGGTTGCACTCAATTTTGCTCTCAAATTTGACTATTTGCATGAAGGAATCATATTTCTGAGCACAGAACATTCTACCTTAAATGATCAAATGATTGGAATACTTTCCATACGGACTCGTCGATGAAATGGCATTTTTTTTGCTATGGTATAGAAATTAATCACTTCAGAACAGTCGTATTTCTTTGTGAATGAATGCAATGCTTTGTAGGCATACGCCGTCACTGAAGCAGATGCTGGTTCGGACGTGGCTGGAATACAAATGAAATGTGAAAAGAAAGGAAATGAATATGTTTTGAATGGTACGAAAACATGGGTGAATAACGCTGGTCCAGCTAGTTGGTTCTACGTTTTATGCAGATCTGATCCAGATCCGCAAACTCCAATCTCGAAAGCGTTCACTGCATTTGTGGTTGATGGAGATACGCACGGTGTGTCTAAAGGATCGAAGGTAACGCAGAGTGGTTTTGATGCGTCATCATAACATGGACATAAACAGAAAGTAATAACAGAGAGTCTATTTTTACATCCCTGAAAAATCGGATCAACAATGGTTAGCTAGCCCATGCGGGGAGGCAGCAGTCACCGGGATGGGGAGGGATCACTTTTGCTCTCTCCGCAAGGATCCCTGTGAAGGTTGGATTCCCGTGCCAACCTCAGTATGTAATAGTATTCATAATATTAATAGTCAAAATTTCAATCGCCAATCGCATATTCTTCACTTTGCGTTCATTTTTCGTCTCAGAATGCTCTGTAATGTTAAGATCCCACAAATCCGTGATTCTCACACTCTCGCACTTCGTTCCCTTCTTGGTTCGCATGGCAAACCGTCCAACAATCCACGCGATCGCAGTTCCCCTTCCTTAATGAACCGTTATATCTGGATGAAGAAAATTAAGAAAATGCTTCAATGACCAAGATGTTTTCTGTCAAAATAATTCGTTGATAATATCAGAGCAAGCTATTTTTTGTGATTGAACATCACTGAACGCTAATAGACGAAATGTAAAGAAAAAATAACAACATTGATTCGTCAATTTATCCCACCTTCCCTCCTCTAACATCACCGAATTCCCTCTTTCCGGTAGGAAACCTGCTCCGTGAGAACAACTTAATACACCGTGAAGTGATTCTTCCATTCAGAACTGAAATGCTATCAGATCATTTGAATCGAACGCGCGTTGTGTTTATGGTTCGGTGGAACACCTTTCTGTTGTTGACATTTTCGATAATTATTGAGTGTTTCAATTGCTTTGTAGGAATTAACAATGGGAGTAAGAGCGTGTGACATTCGGACGGTGAATTTTGAAGAGGTACGTGTGCCTGAAGAGAATGTGGTTGGTAAACCAGGAGACGGATTTGTGATTACGATGAAAATGTTTGATAAAACAAGGTTCTTTTCTAAAATTCATCCATACTTTTTTCCAAGGTATCTAACAAGAAAAATTCGCTTCATTAGACTAATGGAAACTCCCTGAGAACTCGTGCTGTGAAAACCAATCACAGCAACGCTATAGTTTATCACTTTCAGGGCAGAGGTCGCAGCGATTGCGACGGGGCTAATATCACGCTGTGTTGATGAAGCTGGTAAATATGCCCTTGAAAGGAAAACATTTGGTGTTCCGATTGCTGACCATCAGGTTTGTTATATTCACTAAGAAATCGAAGAAGTCATACTCAGAACCTCCAATAATCGGTGATATGAGAGTCGAACTCCTATTGGAACACATCTTACTCAGTGCACAAAGAGAGCAACCCGCGATTGATCGGTGTGAATGAGTCAAGACGATGAAACCAATATTGTTTAGGCAGTGAAAGCGATGTTAGCTGATATGGCAATAGATCTTGAATTGGCCCGTCTGATCACCTATCGCAGTGCATGGGAATGGATGACAGGACGTCCTCGAGGATACTTCTCATCAATCGCTAAATGCTTCTGTGCCGATGTTGCAAATACTGTTGCTGCGAACAGTGTGCAGATATTTGGCGGTTTGTTTTTCTCGACTGCATCGAGTCATTCACCTCTTTTTCAGCGTTGAATACATCTTGGGAACTGAAACCGTTTTGAAGTGTTTGGCTCCAGCTTTTCCAGTGATTGTCATTTTTGATGTTGTGTTTCATAAGACTTCACATGCGCCTCTCAGAATGTCATCCCACATTCGAATACATCGACAGTCGCTCGCTGGTAGCGAATTGATTGAACTCAAAAAATTCGTGGAAATTATAGTAAGGCAGTAATTGTTCTCGATAATGTGATCTCCTTGAGTAGAGAACAACTGAATCGTGCAAAATCTTCGGTGTCGAAATCACGGTTCGCCTAACTCGATCATATTTCTCTAGCATGTACTGAACTCAAAGTATACTCGTTAATTAAGGAAATGGTTTCAATCAGAGTTATCCAATGGAGAAGTTACTGCGTGATTCAAAAGCACTGCAAATTTTCGAAGGAACGAGTCAGATTCAACGAACTATCATTGCTAGGGATCTACTGAGACGTTTCAAGGATACGACCACTTTTGTCATCGATACATAATTAAGAAGCACTCTTCCGGATCAACCAACTTCATTTTTATATTTACGATAGATTTTACTATCTGTAAATATTACCATACATCAAATCGCTCTGCTGAATCATTCTAATAAACATTCTTCAGTCGGCAAACTTGTCGCGCTTTGTTGAACTGATCCTAAGACGTGCAGGTCACGACTTCATGCAGCATTCACAAGCCATTCAGCTTCCGAATGTTAATGAAAAGTAAGCGAATGGAATGTTCAAACGCTGCTATCAATCACATTAATAGCAGTTATGCTTTCGATATTGAAACAGAAACGTTGCTCGATGACTTGATCAAATTAAGTGATTAATGAAATGAGCGGAAAGAAGTGAATAATCAAAAAGCAAATGAATTGTTGGAGTGTGCGGTATGATTGTGTTAATTATGCTGAATTAGGTATATAAGTGCGCATTTGAGTGCATTATACCATCTGTGACCGTGTCTGTGATATCCAGCAGATTAGAAGGGCATACAGAGTTATTCGAGCATGAACTACTTCGACATTATTTTTCGTTTCTTTAGGACTCATTCATCAGTTTTAACGCATTTTCAAACTTCTTTCTTAATAACCATCTCAAAACGGTCAACTAACTCAGCAGTTCTCTACACTCGTTTATTCTAGTGATCATTGTTCATCGGTCAGATCACCACGTGCATCGTTTTATCGATAACTTTAATTCTGATCTTTTAGCAAACAATCTGAACTTTGCTCAAACCCTCCCCCAACAATTTATATAATTACTTCAGTCTATAAATCTTCAATTTTTTTCATTCATTCTTCTTAAACAGTTGGCTTATGACGGAAGTAATTGCTGAGATATTAGTGCATTTGGTATCAGTTTCTCAATGGAAACAAATGCACTGTTATAAAATGATGTATATATTAAAATGATCAAATGATCAATACAATATCAAACAACAGCAGTTAGTTAAACACTGCAATACTTCATTATTGTGTGAGTGCTTTTTTGAATGTTGCATTGGATCGTATGCTCACACAGATATCACCCTAACTGAGTGTTTATTATACGAACACGAAAGTAATTTCTGAGTGGTCGGAAGATGTTGTTTCAATAAAACTAACTAGCTCCTAACGCTTGTTCTCATTCAGAGCTCAACTATTTAGTTATCGCTGGTTCCCATCAACAGAGCTCGGAACATATCTAGAATCAAGTTGCAATCGAAGGGGTTTCATAGAAACCTTAAACGTAGTCTGTACCTCACACCTGTTCCAGTCCTGTGATTGCTAGGAGTGGTCCACTTTCCTTCCAGCATAAGCAGGATGTGTCCATTCGAGAAGATTGCGAATGAGAGAGTCATACTACGAACTCTTTGCTCTTTTTTAGATTTGATGGTTATTTCGATGGACCACTTACAAGTATATGAAGAAGTATATGTACGTAAGGCCGCATAGATATAAATGAGGTTGTGTTTGCGTATTTAATCAAGAGTAGTTTAATGTCGTGTATATATGATTAAAGCGAATGCGGTATGTGTTTAGTGGCAATATCTACGTTAAGTGATGACAGAACGAGTGAAAGCACAGTGATAGGCTTTTTGATGGATGAGAATATAGTAATGAGAATGAGTAGATGCAGAGAGATGTGTGCCATCATCAATACGTTGATATGATTTAGGGAATGATGTGGGTGCTTGATGAGTATGTTGTCTAAATAAGCATCAGTCAGTCAGTATAAGCACAAGAAAGAGCAATAGTAGCCATGGAACGAATAATAAAATTTTTGGCGGACAAGGCTATTTGCTATTTGAAAGGATGGATTGTGATACGGTATGAACTAACTCGTTGTGATGATGAGATTAGGGATATGTGCACGATTATTGTGCCGCAAAGGCAATAAAATACTAATGTGATTTAGCGTTTGAGAAGAAGATTGTGTTGTGTTGCAATACATCCATAATATGATCTGCATGCACATATTCGTCTTTGTCGTCAATTCCATTATTTATTCAATTCAAAATACAAATGTATATGTAACACATCACCGCAACCTTATTAACATCACAAAATTACGATACCCGAATGATTTCCATCCGATTTTATCACATTTTCTATCTGATATTATAAAAACATACTGCATTAAGTCAATCTAAAATATCGGTTTCTGCTGGAATTCAAGACAGCCGCATTTGTTATCATTACTAAACGCTTACTTATCTTGCTGGAATGTTGGAGCAATCCAAGTTGTGGAGATTCTCATATGGTTATGAGACTTATTTCAATTTCACGACGATTTCAGGGTGATACCATAATTTTTCAAGATGAAAGCTGATGAAAAGAGAAAATGGCGTTTCAAGTGAACCAAAGAGCTGACAATAATCAAGTTTTTTTGGGGATCGAAAAGCTGACAGAGTTGATAAGCGAATTTGCGCTATGGTAGGAGTGCATATGCGTGACTGCAGTAGTTGAGCAATGCTTAAAAATGCATCATTTGAAATGAAAAAAGAAAATACGATGCATTGTATACAAGCAATGATAATTCGATGTTTCATTGTAATCGGAATATATGGTGGTGTTGGCAATAGTCGATAGTCAGTAATCAACTGGGACACAGTATCAGTCGGTCCCAAGAGGAATTACACTGATTGATTACCACTCTAAACTTTGTTGTTTGACTATCGTAGTACTTAATTTGGTAACAATGACAGACTACATGACAAATAGCATGTATGAAATGACGCATAGATTGAATGAAATTTCCATGAATTGCGGATTGTGACGTAAATATATCGCGTTATGACTAATTTGTAAAATTTTATTTCACGAATAGTTTCGTGATGAAGATATGAGGATATGTCACATCTCACGAAACAGAAATTTTGCGACCCTTGCTGAATTCGTTGAAGGGTTCTGTGACCTGTCATCAGTATTCACAATAATTTGAGATTTCAAGATTGTGTTTTGATGAAAAAAGCTGCATGATTTATCCGAGTGCGCTGTCGCATTTTAACGAAGCGAACATCATGATCTTCATCTCAGTGAGCTACTTTTTCTCATGAAATTCTACAATTCGACAGCTACAAAATCCTACAGTTTCCATTCATTGTAACGCACAGAAGCCCATAGAAATCGACAGCGAAAGTACGAAAACTTAGTGCCGAGAAAGTCAAATGAGGAATTTAGCGTAGCAGTCAACAAATTTTCAGTCAGCAATATCCATTGCTGACGTGAATAAAACAATTGCTGAACTTTAATTGACTCGCAATTGTTCAATGACGAAAATTGAATTGAACCGAATTTTGTACGGTTTGCATGAGATCATGACGCTTTTGCTTAACATGAATTCATGTGGAAAACATTTTTTGCATGCTTTTTCCTGATAGGCATTCATTGCCTTAGCGTGTAATTGGCAATTTAAGTACATCAGATGGATTATTTGCTATTGATAGAGCTGGCAGAGTACGTCAAGCAGCATGTTTGCTGGGTGATGGGTCGAGAGTTCAATTTGTAATGCTACGCTTTTGGGCGTGGCATGTCGCACATGATGTAACCAATGAAATGGGAGATCGACAAGTGAATAAGAGCAAGAATGCTTCACCTCTGCTATGATCCCAAAATTATCATCATTTCATTGCATATCACTATCTCCTCTTTGCCCTCTTGGTCATTATTCCGTTTGACGTTACTACCGTAAACCTCCTCAACAAGCCATCATCTGAAATCCAATGTATTCAGCAGCTGGAGAGTTCAATTGCTCAGCAACTCATGATAAAAGCAATAATAATAGCAGCAATAAGGAATTAAGTGCTGAGCAAGAGCAACCTTTGAACTATTCGAGAGCAAAACATCTCTTCTCAACGGGCAATAAAGGTAAATCATTATCGAATATTCTTACTGCTATGAATATGATTGATATTTTATGATATTATTGCTTCACTTTCGCGGACAAACAATTGCATAATTATTGTTCAAGCTTGCCTGTATGACTGAACAATATTTATCCGATACTGAGTGGTATTAACTTTTGATGATGAATGAATTGAAAAGTAATTAATTTTCTGACCGAAATCACATCGTGCATTTGTACCATAAAAGAGCAGATTGTAATGCAGGTGCGTATCTGGCTGGAGATTAGATGGTGTGTGAATGTGCATGGAAAGATATAATTAGCAATGAGATGAGTCTTTTGCAACACGATTTTACTGTTTTGCCTGGTTGTTCGCATTAATTGTTTTCATGATGAACACCATTCATTCATTGAATAAATGAATCAGCGAATGTCACATACGGTAGTCACCACATGTGACTTCATCTCTTTGATTCTCCTATCTTTTGATATCACCATTATTTTTGTTAATGGCAACCGTATTATTAATAAATTATTCATTTACATGTAAATTGCCAGATGCCTATCCTACGCTTCCCTACTCAGCATTTTGCCCATCGCTTCGGAATCATACTTAGTTTTGCTGAGAAGAAATTTGTTGCAGTGGGTGGATTTTGGCTCTTTCCAGACACTAACATCATTCGAATAACAGTTACTGTTGCACCATATATACGGTTATGGCAGATGTCATTTCAATATCAATTTATGGCATGCAAGATCAAAAACAAGAATTTATCATGCAGCTGATACAAATCGAGATACTTGTTCCAGCATTACTTAACGGGAGAACTGTACCGAGTGTAAAAATTAGAAAGTCCTTAACGATATTTTCAAGACGACGATTGCACTCATGCTTTTTGACATTTTAGTGGCAGATGGCTATGGTGATTTTTGCGTCCAACTTTTGAGCTTACACTGAAATAAATGAAATGAATAGGATGTGGCACTTCTTGAGTCTGTCGAAGATTTTTCAAGATGGACATCAAAGATACGCATCCTTAAACTAGAGTGGTACGGTTGATTATGATGCTATAAATGAGTAATGAATGCAATATGATGTTTCCCCGAAATAGTATAGAATCATTTTTGCATTGCTTTCTCAATTTTACTCAACTGAAAGCAACAGTCATCATGAGAAAACAGATTTGATGATGTTAAGTCAAAAGCTGACGGATCTAATTGTGATTCAAAGTGAATGCGCACGTCTTCATTGTTCGACTGAATAATTCCTTATGAACGAACTTCATCTGAATCCTATGAGTGCGTCATTATGTTCATTACACTACGTTATTATTATCAGTCATTGTCTTCTGCTCCTTCTGCATCACAGAGCAAATGATTAGTAGTGACTGCAATGAAACACTAAACTATTGCTAAACTCAAATGCCCACTTTCTATATAATTGTAGTTTCCTCAAAATGAAGTTCATGTTCAAACTTTACTGCTGATACAACAATAACAAGCAGTCTTAGAACTTAGAGAATAACAAATATGAGCTTTTCGATTAATGATATCTTACGTGAATGTCTTTCAATGAAGTGTTTCGGTTTGAGAACAGTCATTATAGGACATGCACGCAACGAGAAAGAAGTACTGTTTCATGACGTCAGAAAGGTAGTTGAATTCAGTGAAATGAGAATGCCATGATTCCTTCTTAATTCGCAAACGTTTTTTNTTTTTTCTAGGAAGCAATTCAATTGCCTTCTAATCAAAGCACAGTCTTTTTAAGCAATCGTTTTTGCGCAAAGCACTGACTGCAGCGAATGACGAAGGACGCTGCAGATTGAATGCGACACTTTTGAGTTATGAGATGAAATGTAACTGAAATAAACTGATACAGATGATGAAACACCGCTCGAGAATGCACTACGAAGTGGATCGTTGATGAGGAACAATGCTTTGACGTTATCATATCCAACACCGTCCATATTCATACCGCCACCCAATCTAATGCCATCTTCTTATATGTCATCGTTGGCTGCTGTCGCCATGTCGGCTGCCATGAATGCTGCGGCTGTCAATAATCGTCATATTACTACTAACCCGTAAACGTTTCATTTTTCAGAATAGCACAAAAAATGTCCATCTCCTTTATAAGTATCAGCTATTATAATTCATGTTCAGTTCATCTAAACGAATAGTAATTATCATATCTGAAATCTAGATACGAGATTCTCGACAAGGTGAATTAGTGCACCGCAGATAATGTAATATCGCTATATTGGTAACATTAGAATAACTGCCCCAAAATACCACATCGAGATATATCTCAACATCGGTCTAGTGTTAGCATTCAGTACTCAATGTATGTGACTGACTGCATCATTTCCAGTAACTCATCCAATTAATACTAACGTTGGTTTCAACACTTTTCATCAACAATCAACAACGTCACAAAATTCAACGAACCNTGCCAATTGAATCCGATCAAACAACAGTATCTGTGAATTCATTCTGCTCAACATCAGTACTCGAAAGTCCACCGTGTGGATCACCGGCTCTTTCGTGTGCCGTTTGCGGCGATGTTTCTAGTGGGAAACACTATGGTGACTATTAAAATGAATTCAAGAGATGATGATAATTCCACTGTTTAACGAAATGCATCTAGGCCAATCAGTTATTGAGTCAAAAATTGGATTTCGTGCAACTTTTTTGATGACGGTCATCAACTTCATGTGATACAGTTGACCAAATGAGGAAAACTCTTGAACATTTTTAAACTCTTGATCAAGTAGGGTGGGAAGCTGAAAAACCCAAATTTAAACCTATGCATACTCGATTCGTGCAATCTCGGATGCAATTCATTGCTTTGAAAGGCATTTGTAACTTGAATTTGCACAAAAGCAAGCGTCTACATTCGAAGATTCCTCTCTTCTCAATGATAATTCATTGATGATAGGTTTTGAGTGTACGTAATTTTTCTGTGGTTAATTTCAAAGAAATTCTGTCGTCTTTGATAGAACAAGCAAACGTTATTGTTGAAATGTGCAACGGCTTTATAATCAATTTTCGGAATGTCCATCCTTCTGATCAGCGTTCAATTGCCGTCTTGTAACTGATTAGCAGATACTAAAAAAAATGCAACTGAAGCATGAAACGAACAGAAAAATTTAGATGACTTACCTTGGTGAAATTTGCGATGCATTGGACTCAAATAGGAAATTCATTTATAAATTGCTACAGAAGACATGACTTTGACATTTGCAACTTTCATTTCTTCAGAAAGTTGTATGAAAGAGATTGGTTGCAAACTCGTGCAGAACATATTCAGAAAACACTTTTCAAAAAGAATTCTTCAACAAAAATTCCAAGCTTTGTCGTGGAGAATTCTAATTTCTGCTGAAATGTCCTTGAGAATGAGTGAATATGCAGCAATGAACTATTGTTGCTTATAAGATTTCAATTGCAATAAAAGTTGACACTGTGTATTGCGAAGGTATTCTCGCGTGCAACGGATGTAGTGGATTCTTCAAGCGAAGTGTTCGCAGACGTCTGATTTATCGTTGTCAAGCTGGGACAGGATCATGCATTGTTGATAAAGCGCATCGTAATCAATGCCAAGCGTGTCGACTCAAAAAATGTCTCAGTAAAGGAATGAATAAAGATGGTAAAATATATTCGATGCTTATTACAAAACCTGATACCACTCACTAACAATACTAACATCAAGATGCACTAGCAGCAACAGCGAAAATCTTCGTGATCTGTACTCTATATCAGTCAACGACCGTTGTGTTTCTTGAAGTCGATCCGTTTTGAAATCTTTATCCCTAAACAAATTAAAAAATTGCACTCGAAACTGTTTACAAATTACAAATGCTCCATAATCGATATAGCATACTATACTCTCAACTGCGTGAATGTTGCAAATGTTTGTAATGTACGGAGTTGAAAATGACTTCGAGGTCATCACGTCTGGAGATGACGAAGAGAATATTAAGAACCTTGAAGTACGGTATCAGATATCTGAGCGACTGGTTTTGCATGATTGAATGTTTTCACTCAACTGTGAATGCACATTGAATGTTTCGAATTTTCTCGATCAATATTAGCCGAACAAAAAAAATTTCTCGACCCATCCGAAAAGGTTCCATTAAGCGCTCGACTTCAAGGTGTGAATCTTCGACACCTCCGGAATAATTGATTCTTATTCAAAGTGTCATCTGGTGAATGCAAACCCAAATGATTTCAGCAGTGCAAAACGAGCGACAACCGCGTAACACAGCCACTATTCGACCCTCACCACAAATCGATTTCACAAATTCGGCACTCCTGTTTAGGTGACAGTTTTCGATTGCTTGCTTGATGTTTCGTATTCAACGATTATTCGGCATTGTTTCAATGAATTGCTCTTAACTGTTTTATGATCTGACACTAGTGTAATATCAGGATATTCAGTAGGATTAATTGCAGTGCGTACTTTATAATTGATTTTCTTTGCACTTCGGTTAGTTATATTCTCCATAATCCTATCAATCTCTTAATCGCACACGTTCTCTCTTGACAAGTCATTCATCTAGGAGAAATTGAAAATCGAAATTGTGTCGACGAAATTCCATCCACTCTCGATCTCAAATTAATTAATTTTTAATTCAAACGTTTCTGTCAATTGCAATCCCAGGAATCACATCCATACGTATTATGTAAATCTGCATTGATCGTATGCTTTACGTTGTGAAATATTCTCTGCAGCAAAATCGACCAATGACGGTCACTGCTCAGCCATGCAACATGAAATGGTCCAATAGAAATGCAGTAAAATTCAGGAAAATTAATAAATGGATTTTGATAAAGTCCATAGTTTTTGCATGATAATGAGGACATACGGACATGTCAAGCGGATTTTCTTCCTCCCGGTCACTCGAAAATCATCGAATGATTTTAAAAATTTTGTTGGGAAAATCACTCTGTTATTCTCCTTCGCTAATATGTGATTTTGAAACAATCAGTTACTTATGAGGTAATTTACAAGGACAGTCTTGTATGTGGAAGTACTCTAGGAATTTAATTATTGTTCTTGAAAATTTGTTGACGTAGGAAGATCATTCGACAAAAAATCAATTTCTTTTGCCCTCGTACACATAGATTCGGTTCTTCTGCTAGAAAATTCTATACCCATGGGGAAGGAGCAAAAGAAAACGTTACTCTTGCACTTCTTCATAGGTTGCAAATGTAGTTGTGTACAAGATAAAAGCTAAATATCAACACTCAAAAAATATCAACTGCACGATTCAGAGGCCGATCAAGTCAGTAATCACGCAAGTACGCTCAATAAGTAACATGCAATTTGTGGTGTTATGTCATAGGATTTAATGTTGTATCGCAGGAATGTGCGATGTTATTGAATGGATGGCGTCAATTTGAATCATTTCAGTTCAAAAGATATTNTTACGTGACTTACGACATGCGCTTAGGGGCATTTCAGCAGTTGCATAGTGCTTTCATTCCATTGTCATTTCTTTCTGCCTTATCGTCACGTCAACAATTTGAAGCGAGATAAGCATGCTGACAATTGCCACTGAACAGTTTGCCTCACTCAGTAGATCACTAAGTCGAGAAATGAAAGTAGCGTTCGTGATAGCAATCCATTTTGTGGGATACGTGAATACGTGAATTGCGAAACTTGAACCATTATCATAACTGGCTTGTCATACGAATCCTGAGCTGCGATTTTTCTCAGCTAATCTGTATCTGGATAATTTATTGTCTAGAGCTGGAAAAGAGACAGTTAGGATTTTTGTGGAATGTTCATTTTTCAAAACTCTAAAGCTTTTTGAAAACAGCTCTATTAACTTACTTCAGAAAACAGCTCTAGCATTGCAGTTGATGATGAACAGGCTGAAATAATAGCTTTGAGAGTCACGTTTGCGTGTTGGCTTCAAAAACATCGTGACAGAATCTCTTTCTTCTGAAGTCCAAGAGGACTGAGGGCTGTGCCTAACTGAGATGGCTCAAGAAATTATGAGTTGAAAAGTGGAATTAACTGGAATCGTTTAAGTGATTATGGTGGTGCGATAACGACGACAGTTGGGCTGAATGGTCAAACACCTGATTCAACATCGATGACCACAAAAAGTACATCACCTGTTGATAATGATAACGTGGATGGAGAGGTTACTGATTACTTACGTCAGCCATGAAAACCGAAAAATAAGTCTATCTTCAAAACAAGCCTATCTCTCTATTTCGTCGCCTATGGAATATCCTCATTCTGAACTTATTTGGGAACCAATCACGAGTCTGCAACTTAACGCGATTAGATGGTTAATTTTTGTTGCACATCTTCCAGATGAAAGAAGAAGATGCTCCTGACCAAATCGACAAAGGTATCAGCACAGAATCTGTTCATGAAACCGCAGCTCGCCTCCTGTTCATGGCTATTAAATGGGCAAAGAACTTACCTTCATTTAAACTTTAATAAGTTGATGAAAACCATTTCATTAATTCCAATACGTTTACGGTCGATGAATGGATCTTTAGGGCATATATGGTTTTTCGAAGTGATCCGAAGTAAAACAATGAATTTTTTTGCTTAGGTAACACTCCTGGAAGAGGGTTGGTGCGACCTGTTTCTATTGAGCGTCTTTCAATGGTCACTTCCGATGCAGGAATGTCCATTGCTAAGCAACGCAATTACTTCATCGGCTAATGTCCTCAGTTATCTGCAAGATTTATTCGTTCGAATTCGAAATCATAGCATCGACCAAGGAGAGTTTGCATGTCTCAAAGCACTCGTTCTATTTCGGCCAGGTAATCGTTCGACTTTTCGGTGTATCTTATTTCATTCTATTGCTGAACGCAGCTGGAGTTGCTTTGATTCACTGATTCTCATCACTTTTCTGGTTTCACCAACTGTTTTGCTATGGCAATTAGTGAGATCATTCTGAAGCTCCAAACATTCCGAATGATGAAAAGTTCTCGAATAAAATCAATTTGTGCATAGAGAAGAAAATTTCATCGAATCAAACTGCAGTGGTTCGTTGCTTGTGAGCATTATGTTAATAACTAATCCAAACATGTCATGATTGTTATACTGTAGCATCCTATCTGAATATGTGCAAGAGACAATTTGCTTCTTGAGAGTTCATCGTTGAGTATCATTAATGTATGACCATTTAACGCATCATTGATTTCTTGAATGAGCTATCCGCGTAGTCGATTAGTAGCAATACCGTAGTGATTGGTTCTNACATCAAGTTCGTCGAGGTCAAATGGAATAGACATCGACGGCGAAATATAATGCTCTCAATTGAATGCATTTATAAAGCATGAAGTTATTGAGACAGCGAACAAAACCCAAAAATAACTTCGAATAGAACGCATCTTTCTTCAGCCGACAAAACAATTTAGAACTTAAAAATTTCTTCGCAGCAAACGTTTTCCTCAGCTGCGAGGGAAACGTCAACCAAACTGTGATGCACATACATATGAGGTTAGGTATTCTTCCGTTGCAGTTGATCGATAATGCTGCAGCTCTAAATAAATAAATTTCGCTCATGAAGAGTTTATTCTGACGCAAAAAATCCATAAAACAATTCTTTCGTAGTTGAAAATCTTCAAGAAGTTTTGATGTGATGCAAAACTATCATCTGTTCTAAAATGGCTATAATAACGAGGATCATGTCTTTGAGGTATAATTCAATTCAGTAGCTGATTACCGTATAATGAGATAAAGATTGGTGTGGACTAGTTGAAATGGTTATTGGATTAGGTTAATATAGGTTTAGACAAGATGTGGTCTTACGAGATAACTCCTCAATTCATTTTGTTCTATCAACTTCGGTTCATTTGTATCATCTTCCTATTGAAACAGCTCAGAGCATCAAATAACAATCAATAAATAACAATTTAATATAAGAGCAATTATCGAAGTTGTCATCCGTAAATTCATTAATCGGTCAATTCACCACGTTCAGTTGAAATACGATAATCTATCTATTCATTTGATATTACAACCCCCACATTTACTGAGTAACGCAATCAATGAACAAGTTGTATTTAAAATTGATAAAAGTTTAGTGAATTCTCACAAAACCAATTGCATTCCATGGAAATATGCCACATTAAAGCAACAAGTGGAGAACTTTTTCAATGATGGGATTGTAATATCAAGTGAATAGATAGATTATCGTATGAATTTACGGATGACAACAATTTNTTTTCATGAATAAAAATTGCAGAAACCCGTGGCTTGAAGGATTATGCACAAGTGACCGAACTTCAAGATCAAACTCAGCAAATGCTTGCACGTCATTCAACAGCTTTCGGTCCTACAAGGTTTTGAAAGTTTCGTTTTGAGAAAATAGTAATCCAAAATTAGAATAAGCCTTATCGTATCATCGCTATAATTTTTGAATTATAGCATAATTTGAGCACCACTTCAAAGTGCACTTCCTTTGCAGCGATATCTATCGATTCCTTCACTCTAAATTTTAATGCCAGTAAAAAACGAAACCGAATGCATTCAATGCACACTGCACAAGTTACCGTTCCAATCTGCAACAGCAAAAAGGCATTTGCGTACACTGATCAAATAATGACCATTTACTCCTCCGTAGTGACATATTTGGTGGAACATTGAGCTTCAATCAGTTGATTTATTCCATCAATTTTTTGGTCTTTTTTCTCAAGAAACGGGTTCTCAATAAATTATTGTTTTTTGCTTCTTCAAACAATCATTNCTTCTTTAAAAGTCGAATTCGTGATAACCTTATTTTGTAATGGAATTGCCTTTCAGGCAAGCAAATGATTCGTGATCACGAATCTTTTTTTTACTCTGAATGAATTTCGATTCATCTGTAACAGTGTCTTTGCAGATTCGGTCGATTATTATTACTACTGCCATTATTACGTACAATTGGTGCCGACAAGATTGAGAAGATGTTTTTTGAAGCAACCTTTGGTGGAACACCAATCGAAAAATTAATTTCTAAAATGTACAAACGATGAAATTGTAAAAATATACGTTTACTCACGTTGTGTATCACTAACTATTACACTTATTTTTTGACAGCCACTTGTAATGAAAAAGATATATTTGTACAACAATTCATAACAGACATTGATAATTGTAGTCCAATGATATGTATATTAATGAATATGCAGCAATTAACTCTTTTTATTCGTTTTGATCTGCACAGCGATCAATTGTAGTCCGGTTCAAAACCTACCAACGGATTATCGGTGTCGAAAAGAGTATTCCACTCTTGGAATGTTATCTTCTTTCAGCGACAGTTTGAATCTTCATCAGAAACAGATTCATCAACTTTAAACGGTTTCATTGGTCTCACAGAACGCACCGATTAACTGATCCCCTTCATCGACATACCGTTTTCGATATGCTCGAATTATCTGTTTAGATACCTGTACAGTAGTGATGGGGTACGAGCGAAATTTCTGTAGGTCAGAATCCGATCGATTTGGCATTTCGGTATTCCGACAGTCAGAATTCCAACCGACTCCCCAAATTGCTCGGTCGGAATTCCGACCGACTGTCGGTCGGATTCCAGCACTACTGTACGGTATGGAAACGGATAAACTGATAATGAAAGAATAAGACATTTCCGAAATACTATCATAATTCCATTGGCGAATCATCAGAACGAAAATATTGCCCACATGAAATGTAATTCAAGAGCCCAGAGACGAACTAAAAAAAGTGTCAAGTCATGTTCCAACCGATTCGAACTCATTTCTTCTGCATGCATGTTTCCTGATCGATGCCCAGCTTTTGATATAAGTTTTCGACATATTTATTGATATTCTGGCAGAGTATATTACCCTTACTATACATACAAACACCTATGTTCAGCACCATCCATCATACAGATACAGTGAAATTTCTGAATGGAATGACAAGATTGGTTACCCGAAGGGATGCAAAGAAAATTTGCTTTGATTAGTGCTGAATGGTTTTGCTGCAGAGAGGGTTTTCAAGTGATCTGGAAAGACTGATGGCTGAATAGGTTGAAGCAATGGAAGAAGTTGAACATTTGTGTTAGGCATTGGTAATAATGGCAGTTGTTGAGGTATTGGCTGGCTTTGCAGCAGATTGAAGGGTTGAGCAAGTGCGGGTGCTGATAGTGGATTCGTTAGAAGAGAAGGTAATCCGAAAAGCGCACCGTTGTTCAACCACGGCTGCGGTGGCGATAAGACATTGGTACCAATGTTCCATGCGCTTCTAGTCCGATTGGTATTGCGATAATCTGAAATATGCAAATGAGTATTTGCGTGAACACTAGACGTTCACTGCTTTCAGTACACCTCTTCACACACAAAATGAAACTGTATGTGACGAGACTGATCACTTTTCAGAAGACATCGCTCAACTTCCAGCTAACAAAACACACTATGAAAGATACTTTAAACAAGAATTTGAATGAAAATGATAAATTTTTTACAAATTTTTTTTGAGAATTGTTGATATTATTCTGTTATACTATACGATTTTCCGAAGTATTCGGTGAACGATTTTTGACGATTTGTACTTTCTGGTCGAGCTTTCAAAGCGTTTGTTACATAAAATGATTAGTGAAAAGCATTCGTTTAGCTGTATTACAGTGGCAGATTGTCAAGTTATCGTTAATCATCGGTCAGTTGATCATCAGCGTTATGTTTTGACTCACATTTGTATTAGAGCATTATATACGAGAGTGAGTGATGAAGCATTCAAATATCAACGAATACGAGGTGTTTTGTTGGTGTGGTAAGCATGCTCAACAAGGAAATACCTGATTAAAGAGTGAACCGACTTTTAAAAACATTCATGCATTCGAAATTGGTGTAGCTGTGAGAAACACAGAACTCATTGGTGATTCGAAGAGAAACTGTGAAACAGAATTACTTTGCAAAATAAAGAGCTCTAATTATCTGTAATAGTAATTCTGAGCTGATAGTAATTATCAAGTCTTTAACAGTAATTAACAAGATTGTTTTCAAACCATCTTTTCTATTGTCAAATATTTTCACAATCAGGTGAAATCATCGTGTACTTCTTTGCTACCTGATCTAAAATGGTTGGTCAATATTTCAGATGAAATGATAATTTTCGAAACTTTAAAGTCAGCGACCACGTTCAATTCAGTAATTTCACTGAATATCAGTGCATGGATTCCCAGGTCTAGCCGAATTATCAGATACTATCAGATAATGACCATTCAAAAAAAGTGGATGCCTGATGTCAAATACGAGTGATTATGAGATCGAAAATGAACATATCCGTGCATCTGATCGTGAATGGGAATGACCAAAATGAAATTGTTCACTGCAGCCTGCACACAACGTTGGTGAATTAGTAGTTGATTCGAGAGAACAATAAGCAAGATCATAATGTAATTAGCATACCGTTAAAAGGTGTTTGGAGTGGCAGTAATTGTTGTTGCTGCTGCTGTTGCATTATTTGTGTAGCGTAAGGGTTATACGGTGACTGGTGGTTATAAGCGGTAGGAGTTAGCATTTCTCTAGTGGTGTCTACCATAGGCGGAGGTGTTGCGAGGATAGGTGGAGCAGTTCGGCGGGGATACACACGTTTGCTGGATGGTAGCGACCGCTGTTGTGATCGAATTGAGAATGCTCGGTACGGTGACACTGCCCTCGGTACTGATCGGTCCATGTTTCGTGCACGACTCTGATTTTAAGAATTTTGAATCTTTTGCATCGACATCGCTTTTAGAAAATTTTACTTCAGATTTTCAGGAGCTGTCGTGAAATTTCGTAGAATTCAACGCTCAGATACCATTTTAAAAATATTTTTTGCTTATGAAATTTGATTTCGGATAGTAACATGCAAAAGATGTGGAAGTAATTTTTCCGAAAAATTTTCAAAAGTATTTACTTTCAATTTGCGGAATAAAAGTGGCTTATTGAGTGTTAACAAACCCACTTTTTTGTTCATGTTTTCTGCATCAATCGTTACTTTAGATGTGCGTGTTGAGGATACTTTCAACAGATCAGAATCCTCTTTGGAATTTCGTCCATCCGGTTTTTCATAGCTCCTTCAACAAGCCCTCCATGATCCTGTCATCTCAACTCTTGAATATACAGAGTGCAAGTGGGAGTGTTCTGCTGACCCGAAAACTCAGTGAAACGCTCCCACTCACAATCGGACAAACGAGCGATCAAGTCGTGTTCAATTAACGCAACATGTCATTGCATGTTATATCACTACTACTCCTACGGTTACGTAATCCAATGATGTTGGATAATGTTCAGTTGGAATTTCATGGAATCTTTGTTCGATTGTTGCACGTTTTAAATACTTCGATGAACCGGTTTCCTCCGGAACGAAAGGGAAAACGTTCCAAGGCGATCCGTTTCGAAGTACCTTCTTACGAACAAGAAGTACTGAAGATTCGAAGTGTCACAAGAATGAACATATTGATCCTGCATGACGTCCACAAGAATCCCATAAGAAATTTCTCAGACATCACTCAGAATGTCATAAATATAAATAAAACTCGAAGTGGAACAAAACTAACCGTAGAAATGATTTCTTATCAACATTATTGGTCGCAAATTGACGCTTTGGTGCTACTACTGGCTTTACCCGACTGACGTTTCGTTTTAATTGCAGAATTAATTCCTCCAAATCTGCATCCTTCAGGTTGCTTTCTCGAAGTAACTCGACTAATTTTTTCAGATTTGGTATTTTCTTATCAACAGCGCTACCTTTTTGCGATGCTTTACCAACCTGAAATAATAATTTTGAAAGAACGCATAAATCATCAAATATAATCGGGGATTCAATCGATACATCAGAGGAGGTATTTTGGACTTGAGTTGTCGCTTTCTAGTTGGAATGCAGACATCGCATCTGTTCATCAGTGATAGATGAACTGTGATAACTGGTGCCGTTATTCGAAAAGTTCAAAATGAAATACGCTACGGACGACCCAAAGTCGATTCACTCAAAATCAGAAGGAAAAGTGTCAGTATGGAATCAGTTGCATTGATCGGTTGTGGCATAAATGCATAATTGAAAAATTCGTGAGAGATACAATGGATTTGTTCTCATTGATGATTTGCTGAGGTTCTTTGTCTTCACTGAACTCTTTCGTTACTTCGTCGTAATATTCGTCTTCATCGTGACGAGACGAACCATCCACACTGCTTGCGATTGAGTTCTCTTTTATGGACGGTTCGATTTTAGTTTCAGTTATATTTTCTAATATCTGAAATATTTCAGCATACATTCAATTGATGTTCTCTTAGATACAACCCGGTCTCACTGCGTATTGAAAGTAAGACCAAGTGGAATAATGTAAAGGGACATTCCATTGTAGAACATGCTCTTGCTTACAATTAGGTGATTATTGATACAGGAACATTCGAGATATCAAATAAAGTGATAGTGAAGGTGCAGAATGAAGTTCAGTGCAGAACTGCGACTCAACTCATGAAGCACTCAACTTCATTGAGCATGCTGAGTGTTCAAAGCCTATGAATCTGTGAAAATCAACCAACTTCATCTGGGAATAACGTTATCGGTTCTTGCGATGTGGTTTCGGTTGGAATTTGAGTTGATGGCGGATCAGTATGAGTGACGGCAATTATTGAGTGTTCTGTCGTTGTGCTTTTTTGTTCATTAGTATCGTAGTCATCTGGATCAGGTGCTGGGAACTGTTTACCCAGTTTACTAAATTCAGCCTCTTCGACGCCAAGCGACGGAAATCGATTCGGCGTTAACGTACCACCCAGTGAACCTGAATGACTCGAAATTGTTTCGCGTTCGTATAAAAGTTGCTGTCTTAAAAGGAAATTCTAGTTTTTGATTAGCATGTACGGCGCTGAATTGAAGAAAAAAAAATGGACGGAAGAGGCCTAACAGTGAGAAATTACAGCAGTTAAGAGCACGTGCAAAAAATTCACCGAGCATAACAAACCTGTTCCACCAAGACCACTTCCGAGCCGTGGTAATTGACCGGGAAGAGCACCGGCAGTCAAGAGTCTATCTTGCATTTCGCGTTGGGTCTGTAATAGACATCAGTCGACTCATCATCTATCATTTAATTATCACTTAATTATTCCATCGATCGCTTCAACAAAAACCATTCTATGCAACTTTGTGTGAAGGCCCATCCATCATTTGAGAAAGTTCTCTGTCGAAATGCAACGAGCAGCGAATAAATGCACTGACAAATCGATTGCTGTTCGGAACATCAGTAGCCGAAGCTCATGTTGCTTATAGAAGTGACTTTCTTCAGTGAGTCGAATGAGGAAACTTCACAGACAAATTTACGTTTATCCGCTATTAAAGTTGAAGCAATTTCGAATAATCACTCAGCATTCCTCTTTATAAATTCTACTATTCAAACAATCCAAACTGCCTTGCTGTTTTTTGCAACGAAGTTTCATGTTACACAAATGAATTACCGCATCTGAATGGCTGAATGAAACCTGTCAAATGAACATTATAGTGACGATGAATGACCGTCTTGAATTAAAATACGTGTCATATTGAAAAACTTTTGAGGCAAAAAACGACGTTAAAACACTAAACTAGATCCTTTACTAATCACAATTATGTATGTTCAAATAGTCATTTCCCTCAGAAAGCATTTAGACTTGAAGATTCCTCGAGGCAAATTGCATGAATTAGCCATCTCAATCTATGCAAAAATTTTGAAGAATGTCTTGAATTGCATCTAATAAAGAAAGGAAGGATATCATCGCTGAGAAATATGAAGCATTACTGCACTATGAAAGCATTCATTTGATTTGAACGCACGTACCATTTTTAATGATTCTTTTCAGAGAAGCACATCACTCAATATCGACAAAAAACGCGAAATGGGCATTCAATATCAATAACGATTAGGGAATTAAGCATTTTTTCAAAAACCAATGTTCACACTTTTTCACATTTCTGTTCCACTTTTTTTCTCGAAAACTGGTTCACTGTCGCAGTTCGTTAGAATTGTCTTCGTGAATGACGGCCAACACAAAAATAAATTCATCAGTAATGATTGAATAGGTAATTGATGCCGATGGTGAAATTCAAACAAGATTTCATGCCATCGATAGGGCTCATTTCGTCGATTACAATTCAAATACTTACAACTTTTTAAGCGGTTACACTGAACGTTGAGTGCAACGAGCGACGAATTGAAAGAGTGATATTGAATGATAATAATACATTGACATACGTTTAGAAGATTTTCGGCAGCTAAACTGAACCATTTACCTTCTGACGCTTGATTCAATATGCCGACACCTGTACCGGTTAATTGTAACGCGTTTTGAGCCAGCTGATACACTGAATTTGATGTCATTTATTCATGAGAATTTATTCATCAGTTACCGCTGAATAAGAATATCCTACGAGACATAAAATGATCGATTTCGGAGGAGCTATTCGAAAGATATTACCTGTGCAAGAATGGCGCTTTATTTGAGGAGAAATGGCATTTCATATTTTGAAGTGAAATCTCGTTTGAAATATTTATCGGTTCTCCTCGAAATCTCTTTGATAATAGCATATTACACTAATGAGACGTAATCAGAGCATAAATGAAAATGACCGGATGCTTGAAATAAATAATTTTTCTTTCACGGAGTATTTCGATTGGGAATCTTATTTCGCATCAGTTTTGCGTGCATTGAATCATTTATCAACAGATCAACGCCGATATATTTTATCGGTCGTTTGATTCGCAACTAATTGGATAACAGGAACATAAATCAGATGATGTATGCTTTACACCAATTTCTTTCTCGATTCGGATTTTGCAAATGATCTTGAAGATGCTCGCAATTGTTTTGTTTGCGATCACTTTCTCCTGTTCTGTTTGTATGTTGTCCTCAGAGATAACCCGATCTGTATTCTTATCCCAACGGTCACATCGCTGATCATATTCTTAGTAACCAGTTTGCATTTTCAACATATTCTCAGCCGTTTCTTATCAAATTATCTAATAGTGTTAATTACGCATATTCAAACTGGTGTGATAATTCAACTGCGAAACTGCCTCGTAAGTCAAATGGAATGTGGCCGAATATCAAAAATAATAAAATCACTGAATGGATCGGGTTTTCTCAAAAGTTAGCACTTACTTGATCTGAGAACGTAACTCTGTACAATACGGCTATGTGAGAAGAGGATGAGTGACAATGACAATCAACAATATGGGTAATTCGCAAATGACGAAAGTGCCTTGAACTGATTTGCCTTACTCATAATATGAGTAGTCAATTTAAGAGGAGCGAAGCATTTATGCGAAGTCAATCGAAAAATACATTACTGTTTCCACGGATCTAATCAATGAATAATAATATGTGTTGAAATTCCTTTTATAAGATGTTTGCCTTCAATTTCAATTTAATCGCCCATTCACTAACGGCTACGATCGAGACAGGAACCGATTTTGTTCCGATGATCGTCACTGGTACCATTATGTGAAATTATATTCTCCATTAAGATATCCCGACAAGTTTTTCAAAATTTCATTGCATCATTTCACGAAATTTATGAAATTTGCATTTGCTAAAATTGATTGCGCATTCAATGTCAATGTACAATTCAGAGATCTATCAAAAAGCACACTTTATCATGAATTAAACATCAGAATTTGCGAGAGCTGAGTGTTAGTTTACAAGCTTTTCAGGAGAACAATTCCCGGCGCAACTTGGCCTAATTTGTTATTGGTTAATTCAGTTACTCAACAAATTCGCTATATGAAACACCCTTCAACGCAAGACGAAATGAAATTGAAACGGGGCCAACGAAAAGTCAGAAGCTTTCATCAGATAATATGGCTTTGATACGGAGCGTGTCTCATAATATCAAGACCAAAATATGGTGAAATTTGAAAAATCAAGTTCTCAACTTACACGTTCCTATGGCACCAAGTGCCCCGGTACCAGCGGATGCTGCCCCTTGGGCTGCTGGGCCTAATATTTGAGGTGCAATAATGCTAGATGCCAACGAAGCAATTTCAGCGATTTGAGCATGAGTTATGAATATGAGCTGAACTACGAGAAAGACATGTCGGAAGATGGCTGTCGTCATCTTCACAGAGTGATCGGGTTGTATTCTTTGTAAACATTTTATTGTGGTGATGAAGAAGAGCAGTGAAATCTATAAAGCGATTGTTCGCTGTGGGAGGGAGGGAGTTTGCAAACTGGTTAATGGGCATTTATTTAATCTTTGCGCATAAGGTTTCGTTCAAGGTGATTATCCATCTCAACCACAACTTGTTTTATTGTCGAAATATTCTCGTATCGATTTGATCCTCTCAGAATCACCGACGACTCCTCTCTGTGTTCGTGAATCAGCACAGTCAACTATCGTTTTCATCTCCTCGCGCACAACAATAACAATCGATCATTTCCCGAACACCACCACATTTTCCATATTGCGGGCATATGACGTTTTAGGGCACATCCCAGTGCATTTTCGATCTTGCGTGCAATTCAGATATATTCACACATATAAGATATTTTACACATACTACAAATTTTTCGATCTTGTGCTCATACATGCTCATACATTCATGTATCTGTGCTCATTTGAGCGTGGAATAAACTGTTCGCAGAATTTTTTTTCACAACTTGAAGAAACTCTGACTTTTATTTGTTATCGCAGCACCTACCTTTTGGTAGACAATTGCTGACTGATTACGACCGCTATGAATGCTTCCACTATATGAGTTAAACAAAAGAAATTCAAATTCCCATNTAGTAATGTATTTGTTGAGAAACGTGCTACTTTTTTCAAGACACTAAAAGATAATTATAAGGGCAGAAGAGAGCGCCATTCAAACTCCATGATGATCGGCGCAGATTTAGTATTCAAGATGTTGGAAGAACTGTAACATTAATTGCCATTTTAACTCATCAGACCGGATTAATGGTTGTATTAGTTTATATCGTATGCTCCATTATACTGGGATTTGAGATGTTATACTGATTCTGATTTGTTATTATTATGGATTTATGAACATTTATGAACACGCAGTAATGGCAATGGATGATGGATGGATAAATGCACCAGACATAAATAAATATGCTCATAGGCGAATGAAGGCGAAATATGGATTATGCGAACATAACTCACATTCTTAATGAGCCGCGTAATAGAGACGATGAATGCTATGCGGGTTGGCATGTTCTATTGACACGCATAATAGGATAGCATAAGCGACACAAGCCTTAACGCTACATTTTTGCACATTGTTCTTCTGCAACCGACGACGAATACGCAACATACGTTCTATCAAATTTCAGCCTCATTCAACACAGCATTCATTTCCCTTATTTCACTCTTATGTCTGATCATCAAGAACTTATTATTTGTGCTCTTTAGAGTCTTTCGCAAAACCTTGAACGTTAGGTGATTTTTTGGAACAAAGGATCAATTCCATATGCGTGCTGTTTTTATTTTCACAAATCAGCTGATGTTAAGATCTCGAATGAACAGCTGTAATCATCAGCAAAAGTCACGACGCGATTGTCATGTCGGTTATGTATGCCCGATGACCGACAGTAACCGAAAAGCGCAAATCGAAAGGCTGTCTGTAAGGTGGTGCATCCAGCGGATTGTATGGAAGTTGCGATGATAATAGCACCTTTCTGAAAGAAACAGGAAGTATTCATTACTTGACGATCCATCAACTTAGTTGTTTCCGTCTAAGTATAGATCACATCAGTTATGATGTCGTTGTTATTATCGAGATCATATTAATCATGATCGTATTATTATCACAAGATTTTATCGGTTACTTTTTAAGTTAACGTTTCTTAATCTTTATCAATCTGACTCATAATGATTACATTGATACTTAAGATGCAACACGGAATTAAAGTCCTGAATGTTGTTAGTGTCTATCAATGTTGCATGCATGCATTAAAGCACAACAAACGTTAAAGTAATATTAATCGCTGTTCAGTGGCATGAATGTGCTGTCGAGTGCATGCACATATCTCGCACATATCACCATAAAAACGTTTTTTCAAAGTAACGAATCACTCCCTGGCCAGTTGTCTTAGCAACGATTCATTTCGTGCACAAATTCATGTCGTCTATTTGTCACAAAACGTTTGTCACGTAACGCTTTTCTTCGTTCACTTACATTCCAAATATTCAAACTTCAACTTCACTATCATCAAATTTGAGATCGCCGTTGTACTTCTGACATTATTTGTTGAAATATCGATGACTGTGCTATTGTTGCGATGAGATTCAACAACGAATTCAGCAGCAATTGAGACTTCGCGCTAAAAATAAACCACCATGATATTCATGCGCTTTGAATGGTCATAAAGTGAACAGTTACAGTGATGCGACACTGAGTACCA